GGTACATTTGTGTCGACTTAATACTTAGGTATTCCTGGGTACATATATAATTATAAATTCAAGAATTAGAGAAAAACATATTTTTTCCCAAAACTATACCTTATACATATGTTAATGTATGAGTAGAAGCACTCATTGTTATGTCAAACAAACAAACATTGTATTTTTATACATTTTAATATACAAAACTGTAGTAAATATATTTAAATGGATCAATTCGATTAATACTACTGGAAAAATTATAATTTTAAGTATATATGACTAATAATACGTCAAAACCATCAAAAATATAATTATGTGAAATATGGTACTACTATAAAACTGAGTATGACTATTAGTAAAATTTTAATATTTTTTTATTCATATTCTCATGTGTTAAATATGTTTATTTTTTTTATTCTTAATTTTTTAAACATGTGTTTTATGCTTATAACACAGTAATACCTAGTAACACTAGTAGTACCTAAAAACACTAGCAGTAACAAAAAAAAAAAACTCAACTTTTCAGGTTTGCTTGTTCTCAAAATTAAGATTTTACATTAGAAATAAATTATTTTGCAATCTCAACATCCTTTTTCGAACTCTCTTTCCGTTTCTTCGCTTAAGTTAAAGCACAAACTTTTAAGAACCGACTTGGCTAAAATCTAGCTTGCAACGAGACCTGATCCCATGATCTGCATAAACCAAAAGACAAACAAAATAAGACATTTTACACCATTCATTATATGCAAAGAGATGAGAATACATGTAAACAGCTCTCAAGAATTATAAAAGCATGTTGACTTATTTATGTACATCTAACAGTTAACTCTCACATTTATTTATATACTCATGGAAACACTCTAGAAGAAGCTAAATTTCTGATCATGCATCGTACCACCAACAATCTCAAAGTTTCAAATAAAGCTGTAGAATCAATATAAAACACTTAAAAAAAGAAGCTAACTAAAAAAGAAACTAACTTCACCAGAAATTTGCGAGTGATCTGATTTATAAATAACAAAAACCCATCTATGAAACCAATCAAACGCTGTAGACAATCATCAATCAGAGTATTCTAAATCCAAATCTATTCAATGATAAGGTAAACATAGAAGGAATTGGATTGGACAAGTGCTCACTTATATAAGACCAGACCAAGCAGACGAGCCAAATTTCATAATGCAAGATGCTCGAAACTCTTCTTATATGGACCGAATCTCTTTGTGGACCTAATCAGAAAATGAATTTCTTAGTTCATGTACCAATTAACAAGTCCCTGTAGCTATATCTCTAGACTTTTCAACCACATTCAAATTGCTTTTGCAGATACAGATCAATGACAAGTTCATGCAACTATGTCTCTAGAAATTTGACCACATGTTTGGAATACAAGTGTATTACAAGTGTGTTTGCAGCTATATCTCTAGCAGTTTAACCACACGTTTCGAATACAAGTAGATTTGCAGAAAGATTCACGAACAAATTCATGCAACTATGTTTATACAGATTCCAAACCACAAATTTCGAATTACGAACCATCACCCATGATTTAGATTTACTAAGGATCTAAAATCACCAAAAAATTTCGCAACGACAAACCAAATCGACCAATGAAGATGCGATTAATCGGTGAACGAAAGCACAAAGATAAATCGATGCAACAATTTTACTTACAGAGTTTCCTGTAAAACGCCTTGGTAGATGTAAGCAAACCAAATCCGGGAGATACACAACGCTAACACCATAATTCACGGGAGACTGGAGCCATGAAACTCCATCACGGATGAAACAACCCAACCCATTCTTTTTTTTAACATTGGATTCGAATTAGCATTTCCATAAATGCTAACTCTCAACAATCCAGTCAATTCAATCACATTATGACAACGGAACAAAAGCAGTTAAAA